GCAAAACCTTTAAAACACTAATATTTTAAAACAAAACTTCTCCACTATTTATTTATTTGTTTGTTTGTTTAAAATAATGCCAAAAAATATTTTTATTCAAGGAACTTCAGAGCTCGGGACAATTGTGCCATCCTGACATTTTTGACAATATATCAAATACCAAACTAAATAATAATAATAATATACATATATATACATATATATATACACACACACACACACACATTACAAAAAAATCAAATGTGTAAAAATCAGATGTGTAATTTCCTTAGGTGTAATTATTGCACTGTAATACAAGTTACAGAATGTATAAAACAAAATTATGTTTTCTGTTTGTCAAGTCATTGACCTACACGCATTTTAACACATTTGATTTCAGCATAGGTTTTCGATTCACATTTGTCATCCAAAGCAGCAGCCATTCTTTTAATGGAGAAAGGAGAAAGGAAAGAAGCATACACACACAGTAAAAATATAATTTGATGAACAAGCGAGTGAAAGTAATATGGAGAGGAAGGGAGGAGAGAAAAAGATGGGTCATGATTCCGATATCTCCCTCAGGAAAGGGCTGTGCTCTCTCTTTCTCTGACGAAAAACACTACAAACAACATCCTTTCCTGCCTTTTTCCTCCCTTACCTCTCGCGTGTCCCTCACTCTTGTCTTGGATCTTCTCAAACGCACCATTGCTCAACAGAGGAAGTAGATCCGACACTCTTAAAGCTCCCAATTCCCAAGCAGAGATCCAGAATCACAGGCGCATATCCACTGCTTACCATTGCCACTGGATTTGAGTTGCTAAAGAGGTTTATAATTCTCATATTCTTATTAGGGCAAATCCTGCATTGAGGTTTTGCCTGCTGCCACCCGTCGCGAACTTTGGATCTTTTTGCTCTAAAGCTCATTTGCAGTGAGAGGAATCGGTTGGCGTGTGTTTATTGATGTGAGAGAGCTGCTAAACTGGCCTGCGGCGAAAGACCTGATTTTAGGTCACTGAATGAAAGCAAACTGAATCCAACTGTTTTTGTTTTGAAGTCTGGATTGTACGTGGCGATATAGAGCATTGTAAAAGCATGTAAAAAATCTGACCAGCACAACATATGCCAACAACAGACCAAATACACATTTCTATCATTTCTGAGTCTGACAAATGAATTTTCTTGTGTTTGGGATTATTTTTAGTTGATTATTTTTTTATAGAGACATTTTCTAGCCAATTAAATTAATCATAACTAGAAAAACACTATATTCCCTGTAAAAAAAAATGATATTCACTATTAGATGTATTTAATAACCTCTTTTTATTTATTTTCTGTTATTATCAGGATTTTTCATTCAAGCCCTGACAAAATATAAAACCTTTTTAAAGGTTGATTTTTTAAATTTCATAAAATTGTATTCATTTTCACAACCATATGCAGTGAGTGGCATTAAAACTGACTGATAAGTCACATTGAGATATATAGATATATATATGTATATATGTACATATATACATATATATACATACATATATACATATACATATATACATACTTTTAATCAAATAAATGCAGCCTTGGTGAGCATGAGACTTCTTTCAAAAACTAAAAAATGATGTCATATATAATAATATAAGAAAAACATTTAAAATATATAATAAAATAATTTTTAAATTGCTTATGTTTATGTAATCATAATACATGCTTACTTTTGAATGGTTGTCTATAGAGAATCTATTGTAGTTACAACATCCACCAAAGGGTGCTACTGTAACAGGTCCATGCTAACCGGCCGAACCATGTTCTAACTCTTTTTCTCTTTCTCCCAACAGCAGTGACGAAGACAACAAGCCATTGCAGGGTAGCCAGACGTCCCTGGACGGGAACGTAAAAGAGAGCGACGACAGTCTGGTGGATTATGGTGAAGGAGGAGACGGCCAGTTCAACGAGGACGGCTCTTTCATAGGCCAGTACACAGTTAAGAAGGACAAAGAGGAGACGGAAGGAAACGAGAGCTCAGAAGCCACGTCACCCGTTAATGTCATCTACTCTCTGGCATAGTACCCTGACCTGAGCACAGCGCCCCCGAGCGGTCCCTCTACATTTACTGCTATCATAAAAATACATATATATATATATATATGTGTGTGTGTGTGTGTGTGTGTGTTTAAAATATATAAATAAAGTGTAACAGGAGCTTTGTCTAGAACTTTTTTGCAGTCAGTAAACTATATTTTATATTTGTGTGTATAAATATATTTATATTTGTATTAAATATGGCTTTTTATTAAAATCTTTCAAGCTGCTAAGCTATTGATTTATTTTTATTTAATTTAACTAATTAATAGATACATATTGGCTGGAATCGACTATTAAGTTGTTGATCCAGGAAAAACTAGCCCCTAATTGTTACAGTCTTACCCAATAAATATTCCTTGTTATGACTGTTTGCTCTACAGTAAATTATTACAATCACTGCCACAAACATATTAAATGAATAAAGATCTAATATAGATCAATGTATATGACAGCATGGTTTCCCTAGGGAGGCAGCATCAGTAGGATGCTGATATGACTGCACCAATCTTGACTCATAAAGGCAGATCAAGACCACACATGCTTTAATGCACAATGCTTTTAACAGACCACAGAGACAGACAAACAGAAAGTGTCTACAAACCTATTTAGGTGCCTCCCTAGACTGTTTTTGGGTCATCTAGCATTTTTAAACATCATGGAAACCTAAGGAGCTACCAGCACAGACAGCACTTTTGGGGCATTTTAATCAAAAAAATTAGTGGGATACCTTCCTAGACAGCATTTTTGGGCATTTTAATATCAAAAATTAGTGGGATACCTTCCCAGACAGCATTTTTGGGCATTTTCATCTTGAAGCCTAGTTAGCTGGCAACCTAGACAGCATTTATTAATCTAAAACCTAAACCTGCCGATTTAGATAACATTTTACGGCATTAATGTCTCAAAACCTAGTGACCTGCCTACCTGGTGCTTGACGCACCTATAAATGCTGTCTAGGTAGCCAGCTCACTATGTTTTGAAGCACAGTCTCTATCCCTGTCCATACAAGATTTAGGTCTCCTAACATGTTGTATTATATGAAAAACAAAGCTAACCTAGTTTTCAGTGCGGTATGTATTTTATTAAACCCAGAGTGCTTAATAAGCAACTATAAGTCATTGTACAGAGGTGCACAGGGAGGAGTGTTTTATGTGCTAAGTGCAGGCTGCTAACTGCACATCTATCACAGATATTTGAGCAGCTGTTTTTTGCACGCGTCTGGGTCAAAAACTCACCTCGAAAACAACTTCTTCATCAAAAACCTCAGTCATAGCTCTCCGCCATATGTGTCCATCAGTTGCGCATGCTGCTGTGATGGTAGTCGATATGAATTACAGGAGGGATCTGTACAGCTTGTGCTGAATGCGCAGAGACACGCCATGACTTAAACTACAATTCCCATGATTCATAGCTCTTCTTCTTCTGTTATTCTACGATGGTTCGCAAAACATGTGCAATTGTGCATATCGACATCTACTGGTCTTCATTGTTTAGAGTATGATATTCTAGAACGTTATATTTTAAAACATGACATTTTACTTCTAGAATTATTATTATTATTATTAGACAAGATGTAATGGTTTAGCCACAATTGATCTCCAGAAAGCCCTTTTATTATATATATATATATATATATATATAAAATAAGTGCTGTCAAACGATTAATTGTGATTAATCGCATCCTAAATAAAAGTTTTTGTTTACATTATATATGTATGTGTGCTGTGTATATTTATTATGTATATATAAATACACACACATACAATATATATTTGATATATTATATATAAATATATTTAATATATAAACAAAATATGTTTCTTAAATATATACATGCATGTGTTTGTATTTATATATACATAATAAATATAAACAGTATACACACATATAGTATGTAAACAAAAAACTTTTACAGTTTGTTTAACAGTTTGATGTTATGTCTGTGTGATGACCATTTATTTATTTTTCTTTATTTATATTTAAATTGTATTTTAACTCACTGTGAGTTTTGTATTTTATTTGTAAATTGTTTGTATTGTTATATTACACGTTTGTAAATTTAAATGTTTTCAATAAAAACGTTATTTAAAAACAACCACTGACCTGTTGTGCAGATGTTAGACAGATTATAAATACTGTAGCCCAGTAAACAATTTAGGATTATTAGTATTATTCATTCTAGTATTACATATTAATATAAATATTATAAGATTTCGGTACAGTGAATACAGTCGGATGTATTAAATATATAAACTCACACTATTTGCATTAGTGAGTATTTGCATGTGCCCCAATGTGCAATGATAAATAATTTATTTCTGTTTCAACTTGTAACCATCTAATTTTTTTTTCTTGCTACAAACAGCATCTACTTTTTATACACAACAGTTGATGGTGTATTGTAGTGATATTCGATTCGCAAACGAATCGTTCATTGGAATCGGTTCATTACGAAGAATCTGTCATATCGAATCGCGCAAGACTGAACTCTGCCCCAAAATCGGTTGATCTTGAAGGGGTATTATTAACTGTTAATGACATACTGTAAATAAAGGTGGAAACGTTGCTGAAACATATATCATATTTAATTGTTGTGGTTGTGCAACATGTATTCCTTGTTTGCAAGGAGCACTTTAAGCTGAAATTATGATGTGGGCAATATGGGAGTCCAAAAATGTGTATTCGTATATCACGTCTTGAAGAAACCATTATTTAGCTGACATAATCAGACACATCCGCTTTTTTTCTTTATGGGTGAAGAAACGAATAACTGAATCGGTTTGTTGAAAAGATTCATTGGAAGGATTCATTCAACGAACCGATTCACTAAATGCATCGGGCTTCCCAAGTAAGAGCGCCTCTAGCGGCGGATCGAGGAAGTTTTTATTGAACTCTTTGACTGGACTTCGCCGTTCCAGCTTTACAAAAGCGGTGGCAAAAACCATGGCAAGCATGGAACACGTTCCAACTTATTAGAAATACAAAGCCTTTGGAAGATCTTTTGAAGATATCGAGTTGTCTCTCCTTTTAGGAAGTGCAATGGCTCCCGCCAGAAGAAAAGAGCTGGATCTGAGGGAACTGTGCTGAATGCAGCTCATTCATGGAGTAAAGTGAGTCGTTTGGGGATCATGAGTACAGGTTAGTTTCCCGGATGAATAAAGTTACTTCTGTTGAACAAGCAGTCCAGACAGGGAATATTGCGATATTTAACGGTTTCATTCAAATATTTCCATGTGTTGCAACTTTATTGAAGTAGCAGCTTCAGTGTTCCCATTCTCTGTTAGAGGCTAATATTGTGCTAACGGGACGAACTGCTTAAAACAAGCATAACACATTCCTGGATGAAGAAGGTAAGGAACGATGTTGTGGTTTTATAAAAGCTGAACCCTGGAGGGATATTCTATTTTCAGCCTTATCCAGGTTTTTTCCCAGGCATATATATATATATGGAAACCGCACGGAATACTTTGATTTGACTTCAGTCTTTTGTTTCAACCTTTCTTTATTTCCTTTCCCCGTCCATTCGGTTTTTAATATACACACAAATAACCATTTTGGTTCGAGGTTACTACTTTTTCCTTTGTTCTCGTCAATCGATATGGACACTGCTATGGAGGGTAACGTGGAAAAGTCCCGTGGTTGTCTTTGCACTGCTGTATGTAAGCAGCTCTCCGAAGACATCCGCCTGATGATGACTCGGTCTCGCGTGCTGCCGGTGTAGAAGCAGGGACTCCGGCGAGAGACGGTTCGTGAGCTCGGTTCCTGGATCCGGACTGAAGCACGAGCTCCGGATCGACTGAGCGGAGGAGGGCGCCTCCTGGATTAGTCTTGGACAGTGTTGCCAATTTAGCAATTTTGTTGCTAAATTTAGCAACTTTTCAGACTACCCTAGCAACTTTTTCTTACAAAAGCACCTAGCAACAAATTGAGCTATTTTTTAAAATTTATTTGGCAGCTTTTAGCAACTTTTGATAAGTGACTCAAACGATAAAAAGGCACAATTTACCATTTAAATTACACAAAAAGAGGAACCCAAAGATGCCTAGCAGTACACACGTTACAGGAATTAAGTTAGCTGCTATTTGCAATTGTTTAATTTAATAGTAATAATAATAATTGAATAGTTATTTTTCATTTATGAGACACTTTGTTAGTAGCTTGTACCTGTGATTGTTGATGAGTTAGTACACTGTAAGAAAAATATGCAGAAAAATGGAAAAGGTGCTAGTAACTTTCCAGGACATTATCCGTTGTAACCCGAAAACACAAAACACAATGCGTAATTAAAAATGCAGGTACAAAAACCTGTGGAAAAATAAATACCAAAAATTCCTTCATATTAACACAGTAGATCGTGCATTATTTTGTACTTTTCTTAGAGTGCAGTATACTAACTAACTACTAAAACTGCTTTAAAGTATAAAACTTAAATTGTAATCGTTCAAAAATGTGTAAGTTTTCGATAATTCAATGAATTTAAAAATAGTTATTTATATTTTAATATTATATTATGCATTTATATTGCTACGAACAAATCTAAATGAACATATATAAAATATATATTTTTTTGCTGAGATTTGACACAATTTTGCATCGTGAGTACGTAATGACAAATCATCACAACATCATTTAGCAACTTTTAGCAACAAATCAACCTTCCTTTAGCAACTTCCCCTGAAAATCAGTTGGCAACACTGGTCTTGGATTGCTTCCCTTGGAATGGGAAGACCACATTTCCTCAAGAGAGCATCAACAAACCCAAGTTGTTGTTGTTTTTTTCTCCTGAAAGCGCTGTCTAAGTGAATTCAGCGAAGTCAACACAATTGTTTTCTTCTTTTATCGTTAATTGTGACATCTGTAAAAGGAGAGGTCTGAAATCAAAATATTCCACTATGATAGGGTCTTCTGTACAAAGTTTCTATGATAACTGTAGTTACTTTAAAACTAACAGGATCAAACCATGTAAACATCTTTATTTTACTCAATTTAAAATATTTTTTATGGAAGTAACGGTAACAAGAATTGTAGTAACTGCATTTTGTAGGAAATTAGGGTGTTTACTACACACTGATTCTTGAGACATTAGAATATATCCCATGCCTGCTATTAGTTCTGAACGTAGCAACATTTCCAGTTTTTGTCTATAACTCAGTAATTCACATAGATTGCATTTTATAAACTAAGAGGAAATACAAAAATGTCTATGTATACAAAATAGCTGTGTCCCTATTTGATATCTGAGAATTTAATGTTTATGAGAACATTTATAAATCAGGCAATATCAAAACCATCCTTCACCTGTAATTTCATCAGCTCAACAACATTACATTGGCTGAGGAGAAACGGAGTGATTTATGTATATAATTTAGATTGCCCTAATCATTCTTATATTTTCTCTTTCACAACTTACACACTACCACGCAGTAAAACGTTTTTGAACAGTAAGATTTTTTATGTTTTTTAAAGTCTCTTCTGCTCACCAAGCCTGCATTTATTTGATGCGAAATACTGCAAAAGCAGTAATATTGTAAAATATTTTTACTATTTAAAATGACTGCTTTCTATTTGAATATATTTAAAAATGTAATTTACTGTTGTGATCAAAGCTAAATTTTCAGCATCATGTCAACTCAATTATTCCAATTAAACCGTAACATAATAGTTTGGGATATAATAGCAACACCAGAAAAACTAAATGGCTACAACATTTGATACCTGTGTGATATGTAAAATATGGATATTTTCTCAACATTGCAGCTGTCATCTCCTACAATTCAATAAATGGACCTGACAGTTAATTAGACTTTGTAGTATCCATTCTTTCTGAAAGTTGAATGCTCTTCAACATCCAAACATAGGTGAATGTCTCTAAAAATGTTAAACTCATTTATCTAACATACTTTCTTGGTACATGAAGGACTATAAAAGGAAAGGTCTGATATTAGATTTTGGATATTAGAAGCCACTGTTTAGAATGCTGTACTAGAATATGCTATTAAGCATTATTGTGAAAGATGACAAAATCTTGACCTGATAATGACTCATACTGGACTGGAGCTTCATTTACAGAACCTCACACAATCCTAATAGCAGAGAATAAAATAAATAAAAAGTTTCTATGTGCAGATACTGATGTATTTTTCAGAGCTGCATTTCGGTCTTGATCTCAGTCATGAGCCATCGTGTTCAGCTGTGTGTATGTGGTATGCAAGTCTATTCATGGAATTCATGTAGCTCCCTCTCTTTCTTCTCTGTGTGAGTTTATGTAGGAATGAAGAAACCACCAGTTGCCCCCAAACCCAAGCTGGTTCAGTCGCAGAAACCATCACCTCCCCCCATCGCCCCAAAACCAGAGATCCTGCTGCCTTCACCCTCACCCACTGCGCACAAGAGAGGAAAACCTGCTGTCGCCCCCAAACCATGTTTGCCCAAAGCCCCTCAGAAACCTCTCCAGCCAAGACAAGATCCCTGCAAAACCCAACTTCCCCCTGTCTCCAAAAATGGGGGTCCTGCTCTACTATCCTCACACCTGTCACATTACATTATACCACCCAGTACTCAAGGTCATCAACTAGGTAACAGAAAATCAGAGGATTCTAAGGAAGTATGTGGAACAGCAGAGGTAAGTGTTTTCAAAGAGGGGGACAGCCCAAAAGAACAGTTGTTTTACAATGACACATTGGAACATGCTTCCCGATCTGAACGGGAACAAATGCATGCTCCCACGGACTCATCCCACACTTCCACAGAGGCACAGGAAGAACAAAACTCTGCCATACTAGAAAAAGACCAGGCAGGTACACAAAAACAAACTTCTGTGCAGATCCCAAGACACAGTCCTACGGAAAGTCTGCAGGAATGGTCTGCAGAGCAGAAACACACCGGGAACTCCATTTTTAGCTCTTGCACCAGTGACGATGGTGTTCCTGCACCACCCAGCAAGCCACTTCCCGTACCCCATCCACGACGCCCTCGGAGGGCACTTCTTAGGCAGAACGTTGTGGAAACTGCACCTTTGGACACTCAAGCAGATACACCTACAGAGACTCCTGAACACGTTCAGACAGACACATTACTAGAAAATCCCAAAAACACTTCAAAAAGCTGTCACACCTACACGGACACACCTCTAAATTTATGTTCCCCTAAAGATAACACGGAAAACACAGACACTGACTCCTCAACCAACACTGATTCTTTGCACAATGTAGACTCTTTTCACAGTGCACATACTGAAGACGTGCCTCCTGATCTAGACTCCACCCATTATTCAGTTCCGAAAAATGGTGTAACTTTAGCTTCCATGAACACAGCTGCGGAGGAGGGGTCGCAACCTCCAGCTCCGCCACCTCGACAGAAATCCCTCCCACAAATGGTTGATTCGTCATGCAAGGCCTCAACATTAGTGGACAACTTGCTTTTGCATTGCCACTCAGATCTTCAGGAGGTTGAGTGTAAAGATGAGGAGGTGCAAAGCGATGATGAAGATGACGGAGCATATGGAGATTTTGCTCGATACCCAATAACTCGGAGTCTTCCTAAACAGATTAAGCTCAGCTGTGGCTCACAAGTGGCAGCTATAACCAAGCCGTCTCTGGACGGGGAGGAAAAGTCACCGAAAGTCATGCCTAAAAAGCCCCAACGAAACAGTCTTCCCGCATCCGTCGTGTTGCGGAAGCAAAACACACCTCCGCTAACGCACACTCCTCCTCCTCTTCCTAACTCCAGTCCTCCCATATTCAGAGAACTTCCAGCACCTCCTCAGGAGAAACCTTCATGGCGAGTCGCTCTTCCTAACATCTCTCTCTTCAGTAGGAACCAGCCGACTCGCAGTAACAGCCAACCACAGGCTGGAGGTGTGGGACCTCTTTTCGTCAAACAGAGGGCGAAGTCGTTTTCCTCTGCAGATCTTCAGAGAGTGGACACCGGATCCGTATCTTCCGAGCAGTTGGTGCGCTCCGATCAAACACGCCGTAGCTTGCGGAAACTTCTAGAGCTGCGTGTGTGTGCACGGTTGCTTCCGAAGTTGCTTCGGAGTGGACAGTCCCTAGATTGCACTCGTACTGATGCTGAATACGAGGAGCATAAAGCCACGCCCACTAATCAGGTCGCACCTTGCGATGATGATGAAGAAGCTCAAGCTGACAGTGAGGCTGACTGCGGAGTGGAATACGAGAACGTCCCATTATACGAGGAGATTCCGGAGTACATGAACCTGCCCTGGGTTTATTCAAACCAGGATGTGGACACAGGCGTGTATGAAGTTCAGGAACCATGTGAGGTGAACAGGTCAGTTTGTGCATATGCATATATGTCATTATTCACATCACCATCCTGAGCTACAGTTGTCTTGTTTAATAGGTCTTGATTTGAGGGATGTACTGTGATTGATTGAGGTTACAGATATGGTAACAGCTTTGTGCCATTTCAAGCACGATTCCGAAATTAAAAATATATAACACATACCCTTTGAGCAATTTAGGAAAAAATTGGGCATTACAGTATGTTTCATTAAGAATACATTGAGAAATTTTACAAATGTTTGCTATGATTAGGTGTACTTGGTGTTGGGGAAAGTTACTTTTAAAAGTAATGCATTAGAATATTGTGTTATTCCATAAAAAGTAACTAATTGCATTAGTTAGTTACTTTTTATAGAAAGTAATGATACGTTCCTTTTGAGTTACAAATTCTGTCACCTGGGCTGGGCTTGCTTATTTGTTCTTTAATAACAAAAAATATATTTTTGGCAAACTCTATTTCCGCGCATCTACATTTCAAATAACAAATTTGAGCACGAAAAGATGCGACATATGAACGGCCTCATCACAATTCGTCGTGTCATTGCGTACCACTGTATCAGTGCCCTTATTTGTGCATATTTCATTTGAAGAAGACATGATATGTGCGCATACACAGTGCTGGTTCATGTTTGGAGCACAATAAAATATGAAATATGTTCATGAAAACTTGAAACACGCTTGATTTGAATTCTCCTCTTTAATACGACCTCATGCATAATACAGCGCAGTGATTGGATTATAAGAGTACATTCTCGTGAATAATACTGAGAAAAGCGCAGAAAACTCGTGACGTGGATACATACTCTCCAGCAGAAATGGCTCCAAAAAATTAGAAAATATCACTATTCCCTTAATAATAGACATAATGAGTGCTATTGTTGTTTTCACTGATGTGCACTTATAACTTGCCTATAAACTATATAATAATTATTAGACATAACAATCAACATATTTTGGTGGTTATGACCAAGGGATCACTGTTTGGATGGTTGCATGGTCTAGTTGGCCTCTGCCAGTAGATGCCATAACTACACTACTGTACTGCAAAAAGGCCACCTCGGCTAAGACTTTATAGATCAACAAGCTATATTTTCTAATCAGGCAGTCGGTAGAATACCCAAAAACATTGTCACACAGACAGGTCTGACTCATGTCTGTAAATTACAATATATAGTCACATCTTTCCTGATTGAATGCCTGTGCAACATTAACCTGGTCTCAACAAGAGCAGTAACTATAAAGATAACAACAATAAGTATATTAACGTCCACACCGATGGATAATCGTTTTTTTTTATCAGCGTGTGTTGCAGTTTAGTCATCTGCTGCTTTAAATGCTTGAGCTCTTTAAAACCAGGTGGATTCTGATTGGCTGTGAATGTTTTTATCATTCATCAGCTGGAAAAACGTGATTGCTGTAAGTGATTCCAACAATATTGTTCCTAGTTGTGGTGGGGACTTCCCTATTCTCATGGAATTATGACAGTAATTAATTAAAACTTTAAAGTTATTGTTAAAAGTTGTTGTCTATGGTGTGAATGGCTTTAAGAATCAGAGTAACCCCAAAACTATAGAATCCGGATCACATTTGAATATATTTTGCTATATATTTTAATGTGCGCTATATTTGTTTGGTCTGTGTGATCATGGAAGTGTGTGCGAGGGTTACAGTCCACTCTTTTAGTCCAGGTTGGGCCACTTTCCTGTGGGTTATTTTCAGTGGCCAGAGCAGGAAATGTCTGTAGAGAAGAGAGCTGAGCCACTGGAAAATAACCTTTCCCTCTCTCTGTTTCTCCCACAC